CATGTTTTGCATCAAAACTAAGGTAGGAGACAAGGAGGTTGAGTTTCATTAAATTGCCTTATAGTTAAAACCCCAAACAACAACATTTCACCATTATTTTCTTCCTAAATCACAATTGCATATTTAAACTATTTCACTGCATTACTTGATTTTGAAAAGCAACAAGTCCCTGAGGATTCGACCTTGGGTTACTTCCGAGTATTACTTGTGACCGTGTGCGCTTGCACGAGTCTCTAATATTTTTAAAGGTAGAGAAAATCCCAACAATACAATATAGATACATGTTGGACCTCTTGTCACCAAGCTTGATACCTGTTTAATTGTTTGAAATTATAAGTATATATTGATTTACAATTAATTATACGTTTTTACATTACTATTTTAGATGATCTGGGAGCTATATACTCAGGAATTTGCAAGTCTAGTTGCCTACTGTACCAATGGACATGACGTATGGTGCACCTTAAGTCCACTCATATGCTTTCATGTAGTTGAGTGACATCAGCCAGATAGAGTTACAAGACAATTTGGTATGAAACAAGCAATTTCAGAAGTGCCCAGCTGGGAATCGAAGATACATGACATAGACATTCGGGATAGCACATGGCAGGATTAGACTCCACCTTTTGTGGTGAGGTGGTGCATGCGTAGAGATTTTATTATCATAAATCCTCATGTGCACGACGATGGTGCTTACGATCCAGAATATATGAGTTGAATCACTAAATGATACATCACTCGAGAAGGAGGAGCATTTGGTGCTACGGTACAATTTTTAATTTGGTTATATAAACTATTCGAATTTAAATATATATTATTAAATTTGTTTTTCCATGTAGGCTGCGTGTTTCGAGCAAATAGGTATTCTCTAGTCATCGGAAGATATTAATAGGTTGTGTAACGTTGGTGGGAGACATCTTCAAGCCTTCATCAGACGTATAAAGTGTCTACTCTTGCTCATGGCCCTCGGCGTAGAGGACGTCGTCAAGTAGGTTAGGATGTTCCAATAGAGCTTGATGATCCTGTACCTAAAGTTATTTATTATAAAGTCAAGGACATTCCACCGTTTACACAGACATACGATGATGCTGGTCCGCCCACGCCTATGGTCATGATATTGATTCCTGGTTCTAGTCAGTATCGTACACCACCTTTACCACCACAGTATGGTTATGGAGCCAACCATGGATATGGACGTGGGGAGCATGGACAATACCTTAACCCTACAGAGGATCGAGAGACACCAGTGGCACCAATAGTTCGTTGTCAGCCACATTGTAACCGGCAACATCCCCATTGTGGGACGTATTAGATGGATAGACTGTAAATTGACATTCATAACTATTTTATCTATATAAACATAAAACACTATTCTCCAATTTTTTATATATATCTTTTTAATTTGAACTACAATAGATAATTTCATAATTCTAGAAGAAAAAATATAACATAATTAAAATTTAGATTATATAATATGATGAATTTAGTTAAAATGAACTAACTTTTAAGAACGAATAATTACAAATAAAAATATAAAGGATAAATTAAACATGAATAAATTAAAAACAATGTAAAAAATGGTCGTCTCTTGACGACCCTCTCTTAAATGTCCAATAGTGGTCTCTTAAGAGACGACCAAGTTTGGCGCCTACAGGAGACGACAGTGTCACATGGTCAGAGACGACCAAGCCCTACTTCGATTTTCAGAGCATTATTTCTGGAATAAGTTTATAAATAATACATTTTTTTATTTTTCAATTAAAATAATATTATTTTAAAAATAAGTTTATTTTAAAACATTATTAAAAAAAAATCCCACCGGTGTGGTGTTAAGTCCAACACACTCTGATGCCTAAGTCAGCAAAAGTTTTAGTTGAGAGTAGCAAGTATTAGGATTGTGAGAGCGTACCTTGCACCCAGGGTCTCTCCTCTTATTTATATAGAGAGTCTCATTGGGTTGGTTCGGGTGGACCGACTCGACCAGTTTGGATTGACTTGGGTCTAGTTTTGCCTAGGGGGTTTGACCGACGTGGCCTGATGGTTCACCCATAATAGTGGCCCTCACTCTTTGGGCATTGAGCTATAAAAATCAATTCTGAAGAGTAGTTGAGAGTAGCAGGTATTAGGATTGTGAGAGCGTACCTTGCACCCAGGGTCTCTCCTCTTATTTATATAGAGAGTCTCATTGGGTTGGTTCGGGTGGACCGACTCGACCAGTTTGGATTGACTTGGGTCTAGTTTTGCCTAGGGGGTTTGACCGACGTGGCCTGATGGTTCACCCATAATAGTGGCCCTCACTCTTTGGGCATTGAGCTATAAAAATCAATTCTAAAGAGTAGTCGCTTCGTTAATGCTCCATGAACGTCAAATAAAAAATCCCTTGACTCAAACACGTATGCATATAAACATAGCCTCGGACTCGAACACCAACACATGCCTCAACTTTGATGGAGTAATTTAACCTCAAGAGACAACAATCTCCATTGGTATAAGACTTTATGGATGGTACCAAAGGCAAAGTTATGAGGACTTAAGTCTAAAATTCGACAATATCATACCGTTGTTTATGGAATGTAGATCGTGTTAAATGTTGACGTAGCATTCGACAGTATCATGACTGTATTATGAAGGTAATTGAAAATTTTTTAAAATTTAGGTATCAAAGAGATACAAGAACCAAATTAGTTCAAAACTGGATTTATAACCTAACTTTTAATTATTTACATTTTTATTAGATTAATAATAAATAACATAAAGTTTGGAAACTGAATTATTTCATTTTAAAATAGTATATGTATTGATTTCGTAAATAAAAATAAGGGGTAGTTGCAATTATAGTAAAAAGAAAAAAAAAGAAACATACAAATTTAGCATCTACATTTTAGTTAGGTAAATATAACAAAATTTTTTAAAAAAACAAAGGCCTAGGTAATAAAAGTTCAAATTTACCCCTGTGTCACTAATATATCACTGATTTATACTTGAATTACCTCTGATTTATTAATGATATATCACTGATATAGATCTAACTAATATATCATTGATATAATTTTGATATCTACTGATATAACTATAATATCTACTGATATAACTTGTTAATATAATTATATGATTTACCATTTGTTAATTTACCAATAATATATATGTGATATATACTTGATATACCACTGATGTAAAATACTGATATACAATTGATTTATGTTTAATATAACTATGATATTTACTGATATAACTTCTAATATGATTTACCATTGGTTACCATTGATATACATATGATATAATTATGATTTCTACTTATATAAATTATGATATGATTATATAGTTTACCATTGATTTACCACTAATATAGCATCGATATCTCTCTGATATTCCTATGATTTACCACTAATATGCTCCTGGTATACAACTAATATATCATTGATATAACTATGATATCTACCAATATAACTTATTATATGAATATATGATTTATCACTGATATATATATGATATATACTTGATATGCCACTGATTTACCAATTATATAGTTCTGATATAACTATGATATCTACTGATATAATTATGATATCTGTGTGTTGATATAATATTGATATATCCACTAATTTTTTTCAGATGAAAAAAGGTGCAAACAAAGAAAATTAAATCTAATGGTAGAAAAGGTTGATGTGACCATGCACCTCAAAAAAGTTAGAAATATGATAGACTTTATAAATTTAAACATCTAATGTACCTTATATTTAGTATATTAGTTACAGATATACATAATATGAAATATTAATATGATATACTTCATTAAATATATCAACATTTGATATCAGATGTAGAAACTAATCAATTTAATATAGAATAAATAATAGTGATATAGCAATCAACATTCGTGATATTAATATATCAATCAACAAATAGCAATAATAAACTATAATTTAAATGTTATACACCACTACAAATTAAACATCTAATATATCTTATATTTAGTATATCAGTTACATATATATTTAATATATATTATAAATTAGAGGTACATCAATTGATATTAAAGGTATAATAATACATACATCAAATGTATATTAGAGGTATATCAATATACCTCTAATATACATTTGATGTATGTGAGAGGTACATCAAATATATATTAGATGTCATAAGAATAAAATTGAAATAATAAAAATTCTGAAAATAAAAATTCAAATATTTTGCCATATTTGCAGGAGTAAAGAGAGACCTTGAAATTTTTGTAAATATGGACAAAGATTTAGCTACACATTTCCCCAAAAGAATCCCCGATTCCCAAGCAAAAATTCCTCGACCTCGACTTTAATTCTCAAAATCATGGCATGGGGTGAGGATCGGGTGGGGCTGCTTCCTATCCCACCTGCCTCGTTGCCATCCCTAGGTCTCTCTCCATCATAACACCATAAGCTAATGGATCACAAATCCTATACCTGGGACTCGTTGCCTGGATTGAGTAACGTTGTGACCAACGTAAGACTCGAACACAATACTTAAATGTAGGTGATACCACTCGAACATAATACTTAAATGTAGGTGATACCACAAGACCCATATCCTTACCACTGTATCATCTCGATGGGACTACTATGATATATTATTGTCACCTCCATGTAAAATCATTAACCAACCTGCAATCATATCAATAGATTCATCATATGCAACGTAATTTATTCCTAAGTGAATTATGATATCTTTTTTTACAGAGTTACCATTTACCAATTTTACATGGTAGAGACAAGAATGTTCACTCAACCAAGGCCATTGTTTTAATTTAGTTTCAACTTGATCCATCCCTATAATTTTAGAAGTTTCGATTTAGTTTGATCAAACCTCATGAATCGTCCTGTCATTACCATATTCACACATTTTTTAATTTAACCTTAATCGAAATTAAACTAAATTTAGCTCTATTCCAAACTTATAATTCATAAGCATAAGTTTTTTTTTCTTCTTCTTTAGAGCATTACAATTCAACAAGAAACTGAAGATTCACAACTTGATCAATTTCAGATCAGATCAGCCATTAATAAGTGGAGTGAAGATAATATGTGGGTACACATATTCATTGAAATACAATTATAGAACACTGGTTACTTAGAAAAGAAGTGAAGATGGATTTCAAAGGTGTAAAATGTTAAGTAGATGAAGACAGACTCAACCAGAAATTGAGTTTATGAATGAAGCAGCTCTGCCTCCCTCTCCCTCTTCTCTATCAGTTTCACAAAGTTGCGAACGATGGACATCCCCTCATTGGTTATAATGCTTTCTGGGTGGAACTGAACTCCCTGCAACATAACATTATAAATTCAAACCACCAACTTCATTTCTTGTTTCTACAAAATACCCCGGTTGCTCGACGACCAAAACACAGGTTCTATTTACCAAGTCTTTTTGTTGCCACTGTATTCATCGCCAATGTTTATGTATCTTGTATCTTGTTTCTTGTTATCTAATTCTTTGAAAAAGAAAAAGAGAGCATTTGATAATTGTTTGTTATAATGTGTTCTCCTTTTCGAGGAAAAAGGAAATGGCTCTCACTTCTTAATCTAAAATTTGAAATTTTGAAAAGAAATTTAAAGTTCTGCTAGAAATATAAGATATTAAAAAAGCTAGCTTATCTCGGTTTAATTTGTTGAGCTAAACATTACTTGTTATACTTAAAAGGGAGTGTTTGAGACGCGGGTTCGACATCTTAAGCCTAGGAATGTTAATAGGGTTTAGGAAAGCTGTGTTTGAGGTAGAGGTTTATTAGAAAGCTAAGATTTAGAAAAACTATATGAAAAAAATGGTTTGGGAAGAGCAGATTTGAAGTATCATTGAAACCCAAGAATTTTCCCAACACAAACGCACAAGGCAAAAAACATGGATTCGACATCTTAAGCCAAACCAATCCAAATCTAATCCTTCCTCCGAACGCCTCTAAAAGAGCGTGAAACCTCAATGAATAAGGTACTTTAATTGGTGATGAGCAGAGGGAAACAAATCTTACCTGTAGATATTTGTATTTCTTGTGACGAGCAGCCATTATCAACCCATCTTCAGTCCATGCTGTAACTTCCAGTTCATCAGAGGGAAAACTTTCCTTGTCAATCACCAGGCTGTGATATCGACCAGCAGTGAACGGACTAATATTTACAACCAAAACACCATCAGTAGGCCGTACTTAGATAACAAAACATGACATTTTCAAAAACAACAAATGTAAAAAATATAAAGCCAATGATAAGAACATACTTTGATAACCCAGATAAAAGCCCTTCCTCACCCTTCTCATCATAGTAAACAGGAGAACTTTTTCCATGCACAACACCATAAGGGGAACGCACAATTTTCCCTGAGATGTCATAATGTCACCTCTTATTTTCCACACTTAAAATTTAACAGATTGTCTCAAGCAAAACAAATTGGAGGAAACTAAAATTATCAGTAAATATGGTAACTAATAATGTCGGAAAAGAAAAATTCAAAAATTGGGATTTAACCTCCAAAAGCCTCTCCAATGCATTGCAAACCCATGCAGACACCAAATAGAGGAACAGTAGGTCCAAGTTCCAAAACAGTTTGCAACGATATCCCAGAATCCTGAGGCGCACCTGCAGATGAGGATGTTATAGAAGTAATGAGTCTCGGACCATTGTGAGATATTATTGAACATCAACTGATTACTCAAGAGAATCCTAACCTGGCCCAGGGGATATTAGAATTCCTCGTGGGTTTTTCCTAGAAGAATAACATGAAGTTCAGTACATTATGGTTCAAATAATACAAATCAGTTCACTTGATATCTTTGAAAGCCTGCCAACTGAATCGTGTGTAGAACAACGATACCTTCGTAACTCATCCACAGTCAAATCATCATTTCGATAAACCTCAAAATGGCATCCCAGCTCTCCAACATACTGCAATCATGGTCAAAGTATACAATATATTAAACTATAGTTTTTATTGCCTAAAGTATTACTCATTTTCATTTTTAATGGCAAAACTTTTAAGAAATTATAGACTTTCATTAATGAAGAACCTAGAAGAAAAAAAAAGAGAGAGAAAAGGGGCCAAGAAGACTAAAAAATTCTTCCAATAAACCTTAACAAAACAAGACAAAGTACACTTTTTGTCCCTAAACTTATATCTGTATCTATTTGGGTCTTATGATTTAAATCTTGAGTTTTCAGAAACAAGTCTAAATAGTCCATGACATTAATTTTTCATTAACTAATGTAATGAAAAGCTAACTGAACTTTCTCTTATTCATTTTAGAATATCAACTAATAATTTTTTTTATCACTTCCTCTTCTTCTCTTCCTCTTCGCTCCTCCTCACTTCCCCCGTCTCTCCACTTTCCTCTGCTTCTTCTATTTTAATATTAGCTTTGCTGATATGGCATTAAACAACTAATTTTATGCTTTTTATTGCTTATGTGGCAAACTAATTATTTTTTTATTACTTCCTCTTCTTCTATTTTTCTTTTCTCCCCCGATTTTCTCTCCACACTCCCAGTTTCCCTCTCATTTTTTTTTGGTTTCTCTCTCTCCTTTCACCCAAATCACCCTGCCTTTCTCTTGAATGGGTGACCTTGAAGAATTTGTTCAATGGCTTGAGCCATTGAAAATGATGACACATACTCAAATTGAACTGATTGGAAAGCAGAGCCCCAAGATGCTAAGAAGAGACAGGTTGGCAGGCAAATGATTTTATCCACTATTTAGGAAATGGACTTGTGGGTAGAGTAAACCGAGAAAAAAACAGGTTGGCAGTCTAAAGAGAAGTAATTGAACAAAAATTAATCCAACTCCTTTTTATACATAGTTGCACTTCCATCTGTGATTCTCTACAAAGAAATAATTGAGCAAGAATTAATCCAACTCCTTTTTATATAATATCCAAGAAGTCCCGATCAATATTTTCAAAGGCTTTCTAAATGTCAAGTTTGAAAATAAACCTCTTTCCCTTCATAAACTCCAATAATAAACAATTTCATTGACAATAAGGATGGCATCTGTAATCTGCCTTCCAATAAAGGTAACAGAGATCGTACCAAGAAGCACTTATTTAAGTCCATCAGCTAGTGTTTGGGAAAGAATATTCTACACTCATGTGGCTAAGTTGTTTGTTCTGATTTCTGATACTTTACATGGGCGAGCTTTCTAGGAATCAAGGCTAGAAAAGTTTCATTAACTCATTCTATAAAACCAAATTATGAGGAAAAACCACTAGGAGCAAGCGCCTTTTTTTTTTTTGCCAACCCCATTCAAAGCAAAATTGATTTTGTCCTCCTTGAAGAGAGGACTTGACTACCTTGAGTTGAGGGCCTTGCCATTGGAATTTAATAATTACAAGATAAAACTTCTCCTCCTCATTGAGAAAGGTTTTTGAAATAAAGAAGAGTTTTCATCCTCCTCACACAGCCAAACTATTTTTGCATTTTTTGGCTCCACATCACGGCTTTCTTAATGGGAATATCACGGAGTCTTCCCTATGGAACATTTTGACTATCAAAAGCCTCTTAGGAAAGGCCACAAGATTCTTCAAGATGATCCAAGCATACAATAGCTTTATTCAGATTCCTCTTGCTAGAATGGATGTTACCAGAAATGTCTTTGTTCCACTAAAACTTGCAGATTTCCCTGGGTACTCTCTAGTGGTAATGTACCTCCACCAATAATCACAGAGATTAAGGAATTGGAGTCTGAAAATTAAATGTTTTGAAACTAAAAAGGGATTGGTCTCCACTTGAGGTTGGTAGATTCAAGGGGGACAGGAAAGTGGTTCGAGACTGTATGGGCAACCTCTTCATTTTAGATTGCTGAACTTTGGCCACAATTTCATGAGAAGGTAAGATTTTGTCAATGTGGGGAAATGGTATGGGGGACCAGACCACTTACATAAAACCAAGGAGATCCAGAAGCTGAGAGGAGCGAATGAAAAAGTTCATTTTTCATGCTAGAAGTAAAACCCGATGGTGGATTTATCATGAATTCGTTTAACCACTTTGAAAAATTCAACGACTACATGACATATAGAAAATCGGAGAAAATCCAAAATGTATCAAAACAGTGCATGCACCAAAAAGTAAGTCATTAATCATGAAGTTTTTTCCATTAGAAACAAATTTCATAGATAAAATTTAAGTGCCAGGCTAAAGCCTATGGAAACCAAGGGACTACAAAAATGAATTAGTCACATTTTTTAATCTCAAAAGTAAATTAAAAACTCCAACCTGACAAAGATTGTAGGTGAAGCTATCATAATTGTCAATGACAATGATTGGATTCTGGGTCTTCTTATTCAAACTTGAAGTCTTTGAATTTGTCTCGGTGATTGAAATTGAGGCATTCAATACAAATCTATTTGGATTCTTGGTCACAAATCGAATATCTGCAAGAGAAGAAGTAGAAGAGAAATGAAAACATAATCGTCAGTCATCACAGTCAATGACAAAGACAAATTCACGGGAGGAGTATGATGAAAAAAAATTACTTGAGGGCGCACATGGGCCAGGTTTTTGAGTGGTTTTTGATGTTTTGGAGAACAGCGAACTTTTGGGATGAAAAGAAGCAGTAGAGGATGTAATAGCTACCATGTCTGCACGAGAAAAGTAAAATGATAGTTTCTACAAAACTGCAAAGGTAGACAACATCAAAATAAGGAAAAATAATTCCGCGACAATGTGGTTGCCTCTAATAATTGTTCGATGCAAGTTCAAAATCTGGCTGCCCTAATAACCATTAGATACAGATCTGAATCACAGTTCTTAAATTCTCTTTCATATATCCAACGGTGACCAACCACATTGTTCTAGTCCTGTCAAACAATCCCTCCAAAACAAGGAGATTCAAAATCATCACAGCAACCAAAACACAATTTCACAATCACAATTAAAAATCATCATCAATTAGCAGAAATGG